CGAGGGTTTTTTGTTATTAGATTCATGAAAGGTGTATATAATTTGAGGCCTACAGTGCCTAGATATCAGGAAATGTGGGATGTTTCTAAGGTGTTAAACTTCCTAAGAAATAATTCTCCGGTAAAAGAGATTACATAAAAGTTACTAACATTAAAACTAATTATGCTACTAGCCTTAGTAACTGCCGCTAGGGGGCAGTCTTTGCACCTTTTATATGTCAAGTATATGACCGTTGGAAAGTCGTCATACACCTTTGTCATTCAGAAATTAATTAAGCAAAGTAAGCCTGGGTATGTTAACCCCCCAGTTAAGTTGAAAGCTTATCCTCCAGATCGGAGGCTGTGTGTCTGTGTAGTATTAAAAGAATATTTATTACGTACCAATGAAATCAGAGGAACAGAACCTCAGTTATTTATCAGTTATGTGAAGCCTCATAAAGCTGTAACAAAAAGCACATTAAGCAGATGGATATGAGAGGTCTTAGCAATGTCAGGTATTGACACAAATGTATTTAAAGCTCACAGTGTGAGATCTGCTGCTACCTCTAAGGCCAAAAATAATTTTGTGCCAGTTGAACATATATTGTCTATTGCAGGGTGGTCATCCACAAGTACATTTGCATTGTATTATGACAAACCATTTTGTGCAGAAAATACATGCCCACCCTCGTTTTTATTTCACCCATTGTTGATCTGTTGCAATCCTACATTTTTACACCGGCATAAACTGGTCACACGGTAAAAATAACACTGTCGTTAAATTTACGGCGGTGCTACAACGGCGTAAATATTACATGTGAACCAGGTACATATCCAACAATCCTGTTTTCAAATTCAGAAGTCATAAATTGAAATGAGTCGTGCAAACCTCAAAATGCATACATTCACTGAATAAATATTGTATGCAAGGAGCGTCCTCTAGGGACCATCTGAATATTTATTCAGCATTTATATAACGCATTTTGAAGTCCTCGTTCCACTTTGATTAATCCTTTTCTATATAATCCTCTACCTTAATGATACATTTCCCAATCTATACACCACTACTTTAGTCCTTCTTTGACATAAAATATTATATATTGCTGTAAAAAACATGAAAGGTGTCTTTTTGATATCACAAACATTGAGATTCATATTCGTAGTAAACAGATTGCTAATCAACTCAAGAAAGTGTAATGAACCCAAAATAAAATTGAAGATGTAAAATACATTGTTATAAAAACGGGGAAAACGTATCAATAACTATAGAACCAGTGATAACAGTGATAATTTTAGTTTTATCATGAACAGTAGACGACGCTATACCCGCGTAGTCAAGTCACTCGCACAATTCATCACAGTCGGCGACTTATATTTGGCCATTGGTTAAAAGGTAAGTTTAAGTGCAGTGATAATATCAATATCGTTGTGTACTAATAGTGTCATGAAATTATAAAGAAATATTCCTAACTCAAATACATAAATACTATGCCCTCATAACATAACATTTACTGTCATCAAACGGCGGGGTATTCGAAACTCAAATAAGGAGGAAACACTGACCATGATATTCAAAAAACGGATTTCTAGTTAGATCTACTTATAGAGTGTTGACCGCAAAAAACGAATGATTTCTGAGCAATTTCAAGTATTTGTAGGTAAAATCAACGATCTTAAAGTGCTATTAAAGAACGATCACATTTCGCGTAATTTTATGAAGCCTTGAAAATCGTTTGCAACATGTGATTTGAAGACTTGTCCACAT